AAGGATGAAAAACTTGCGTCCCGAATAGAGCCACATATATACATGTATAACCGTTAAAGTAATTTATTTGCAAAAAATGCATAGAATCGCACGACTATTGAACAGCCATCACCTCAAAGATGACTGAAAAAAAGGACGAGGCTGTGTATAATCTACCTTGTATATACGTTAAACTATATACTCGATTCCACAGAAGTATTTAGCTCAACAAATGCTGATAAACTTCAATGGGGTTTATTGACTTGTGATGAAAATTTATGCATCTTCACGGCTGCAAAAGCCATTCGGATTGCCCGACTCGAGCAAAACAGGTACATATGATTACACCCATCGGGTGATAAATCATCAGCATTTTTTAGCTCAGCAGCAGTAAAAGATGGAAAAAAAACTGTTCGGTAGCCGAGCTTTTCAACCAACCTTTCCTTTATCGATAAATGTGATAAAAAAAAAAAAAAAAGCCAAATTAATATTCTGTGAAATAAAAGTGCGCAGGAAGTGTACGAAAATCCCCAAACAACAAGCGTCACATTGCGCATAATACGCACGTGTGATAATTCAGTAGGCCGTCAATGTATGCGTCAAATGACAATGCCAAACTGACAATGAAGAAAAAGTGTCGGTTGCTCGCGTGCGCGCCGAAATACGGTGATCTTTTCTTTGGCAAGACGTTTGATGTTGCATTAAAAAAAAAAAACTTATACTTAAGATGCGCGACGATGAAAAAATTAGTAAGCGTAGAATGGCTGTGTTTGTATTGGAGGCTTGCAATTTAGCATATATAATTTTCGTACAGCTTATCAAGTCTACGTTAGATCAAAAATTAATTTTATATAATTTGGTCGCATCGTGAATCATCGCTACGTTGGCATAATTTGTGACACAGTGATCGTCGAAAAAGAAAAAAAAATGTTAATAAACGAGCGCTTTTTTTATCGCAGCATCAACCGTAGTTGAAGTGTGAGAAAAAGACCAAAAAAAATCGAAAGAACTCGCAATCCCTGATATATTTACGCATCTTTATTTTACAAGATCAGCGCGTAAACTCGTATCAATTGTACTGGCAATTTTTAGTCGATCGACCATCTCCTTTTTTTCTTTTCTTTTTTTTGTTTGTTTACCACAATATGATAATGCGGCCTCGGCACAGCGATAAAACTTTTTCTGTGCAATCCTTGGGACTATTACTGCCCGAAAAAAATGTTTACATACACTTGTGCTCCAAAGTGTCATTTTCATCATAACGTTGGCTTTAAAATGTATAATGTTCAGACCCTGTCCTAATTATGTGATTTACAACTCGTGTTTCGTTTGAATTTTAATAATACTTTAAGTAGAACTTTTTATTTTTTATTTTTCAACAAGATACCTTTGACTATGTGTACGAAAAATAAAGTAGTACATTTAAACTATTAGCGAGAGTGTTTATCGAGTAAATTAACAAAAACACGCAAATACGACTAAAATACGACAACTAATCTCACTATTTCGAGGTGTACGCGTATAAAATTAACAAGTTTTCGATACATGTATATTGATAATTTTAAAACTCTTGAAAAATATTTTACTTTCGAGTCGAAAAAAAACTACAGCTTTACTGATAATCAAGCTCAAGGGTACAAGGCGGATAAGGTTTTCCGGCGACACTTTGCTTCATAATTTGAATTTTTTGTTTAAGTTGAATTTGAATTTGTATTTAAGTTGTTATTAATACAAAGTATTGAAAAACAATTGACGAAATGAATTTTACAACAAAAAAAAAGATGATTTTTGGTTTATTACAATTTTTAAAATTAACTAAATGATTTTATATTTATATCGTTAATTATATTGGGATCCTATCACCAAGGCACAACCTAATCATAACTACGTAGCCGTAAAAAAAAGTAAACTACATTATATACTTACGTTATAAAATTAGTGACCGTCGATTAAACTTTTCATCCGGAATATCTGCCATCAGCGCACTTTTTTCGCAATGCGTAATTTTAGATCAAAAAAACAACAAAAAATCCACTCAACCCACCATAAGCGCAAAAACCTTTAGATGAAAAAATTCTTCCTTCCAAAACTTTATAGATAGCCGCGAACTCAGGGGGGGGGGGAGAAAAAACTCTTCGATACGGGTGGTTCGAGCGTCCTCGACCGTCTGAGGCCAACCATCCGAGGATCGGCGTTGTAGTGCCGCGATACATGCGACGCCACTGCCGCGTAATGACACTGTAAGCCCGATCACGCGTTTACACACAAGAGTCCTTTTTTTTCTCTCTTTTTCTTTTTACGTAGGTGCAACAAGTACATGCGTGCACGTAAAAATCACGAACTCAATATTTTCACGCCGGCCGACCGGCTTGCTTCGGGATATGGGAGTTTTTTCCAACCTGCTCTCGAACGTCGCACGGATCTCATCGCGACGCGTCACCGGCATTGAGTATTTTTCTCAATTTTTTGTTTTATTGATTGCAAAATAAAAATAACCATCCGATTCTGCGTAAGGATGACGAGCGCTCCTAAATTTTATATCCAAAACTTCACAGAAGAAAATACCATCCTGAATATCACATTTTTATTCCGTAAAGTAATATTATTGAAAAAAAAATATAACAAATACAACTTTTTTTTGCAACAAATATTACATAACAATGTATTTTTCAAAATACTTGTAGGATGGCATAATTTGCTTGGGATAAATGTATTCCTTACGAATTATTTTTTGAAAAGTTTAAATGTAATTTTTTTTTTTTTTTTTTTTTTTTTTTTTTTCAAGGATGAAAAACTTGCGTCCCGAATAGAGCCACATATATACATGTATAACCGTTAAAGTAATTTATTTGCAAAAAATGCATAGAATCGCACGACTATTGAACAGCCATCACCTCAAAGATGACTGAAAAAAAGGACGAGGCTGTGTATAATCTACCTTGTATATACGTTAAACTATATACTCGATTCCACAGAAGTATTTAGCTCAACAAATGCTGATAAACTTCAATGGGGTTTATTGACTTGTGATGAAAATTTATGCATCTTCACGGCTGCAAAAGCCATTCGGATTGCCCGACTCGAGCAAAACAGGTACATATGATTACACCCATCGGGTGATAAATCATCAGCATTTTTTAGCTCAGCAGCAGTAAAAGATGGAAAAAAAACTGTTCGGTAGCCGAGCTTTTCAACCAACCTTTCCTTTATCGATAAATGTGATACGAAAAACCAGCTCGTACCGTTGAGCATAATTTTTTCCCGAGGCAGGATCGTAAGAGATATGATGCCCGAGATTCGCGGCCCACTTGTACTTTCAAAGCAGCAAGGCTTTCAGGGCCAAGCAATTGCGTGCGTATACGAGGGCCACCATAGTTTATTGGGCGTACTCGCATAAAGAGTCGCCGTCACACAAAGACTCCCTCGGCTCATTTTTCTTTCTCGCGCGGCTGTCTTTGTCCTGACAGTGAGCAGCGAGAGATTATCCACTCGACTTTGGCTCTTGTGACTAATACTCCGGGGGTCGTCATCGAGCGTGTACGCGAATTATTTGACAGGCGTGTGTAATGGAGAGGTATTTTTTGCACTTTGGACGGGCGACTGCGAGAAAACCTTCCGACTGTAATTTTGCAACTCATCGATTTGGCTGACGATGAATTGGTGAAAAATTCGTTTTTTGTACGCCTGCCGGGCATGAGACGCGTTATATGTGCGCTCGAGACGGTGATGATCGAATGTTTGAATTTTAAAGAGGCCGAGTATGTACACTTACGATGAGTAAAAGCTTCCTTTCAATGTTTGCTCAGACTTTTTTTTTTCATAATCGTAATTACCTGCAGTTTTTCTTAAAACATTTGTTTGGATAGAAAATGGTGTTACGCAGACTTGGGCTTACTCTTATTTTATAGATTTTTTAAGACTGAAAGTTCAATAATTTTTTTCTATATTTTTTAGTACAACTGTTAACAAAAAAATAGTGCGTTTTGTTTTTGTAGAATAAAGTTTAGTGCTATGTATAAATATTTTAACACTTTTTTTTTAAACAATTTTGTGCTTTATTTTAACTGAAGAAAATTTTTGTTCAATACTGTGTTACAAATATGGATAAAAATTTTTTTTAATTCAGCACAAATGTATTTTAATGTTGGAAAAAAAAACTGTGTTGCAAAGTATTTTAAATAATGCCCATCTTAAAAACTTTTCCGTATTGTAAAGTTTGACTGCTGAAAAAGAAAATTTGACAAGGTTTTGTGTCGATTTCGATTTTCTTCCTTTATTCCTTTTTGAAAGCTTTAGTATCAGGTTTTCAAAAACCATGCAAACTTGTGTGAGTATACGAGTTGTTTTTTTACCTTCCGTATCTTTTATTAAAAAAGTTGTATCCGTGGCACGTACAAGTAAATAGAGTAACGATACGTTCCAATAAGGACAAACTTGTCCATAATTCATAAAATTAATTGGACACTCAGAGTAACTGGAAACGATTTTCATGAATTAAATTTCTTGAGCTAGAAGAAATACGGAAGAGTAAACAACAACAAGTAAGCAATAACATACGCTACAGATGAACATTGCAAGGCCGTATAAGAAAACGAGCAATTTGCACCCAAGTATCGAAAGTTTTAATAGTATTAATTATTTTACAAATTTTTTTTACCAGGTATTACTGTTATTTGCGTGTTTTTATCAGCAAACTGAGGATTTTGTAATTTTGTAAATTTCATAAATGTATAAGGTAAGGTAGTAGGAAAAAAATTGTCACAAGTGGGAAGAAATAATTTAGAAAATCAAACTGGTTCGTCATGGATTATTAATATTTTTATTTATAACGTAAGGTTTATAAAATATTATTATTTACGTATATTTTTATTACACGTAAATATTAACTGAAAACTAGAAATGCGTTGAATAAATAATTTTTATTTGTAGAAACTCAAGATATATGCGTTCAATTTAAAGTCTATTATTCACGTATTGCTTGAATTTTTCTTAATATACTTCGTAAATAAATACGAAAGAGTCAATTTGACTGTTCAAAAAACTTAATACGTATACAAAACCACACTTTCAATAATAGTAAAGTCATAGACGAATCGTTAATTTAACAAGAACTGTATTTTATCGTTTTAATTTCTATATCTATGACAACGACGATGATATGACGAGATAATGTGTATTACATATTATTAATGATAATGATAATAATAATTAATAATAATCAGGCAACAACTTTGATCGAGGAAACAGTACAACTGGCAATAATATAACATATATTACACACGGAAAGCTATAAAAACATTCCATTTTTTATCTTATATATTTTTCTCCCTTCTTTTATATATATATATATA